AAAAAAAATCAGACCTTGAAACCAAGCAGCTATCCACGAAGAAGAAATGTGGCAGCTGGTTAAATAAAAAAATAAATGCATCATCACATGGATGTGATTTTCTCAGTTTCTAAAGAATTACAAGGCCAGACTTCTCCCTTTGAACCAGACCCAGTCTGGATTTAGGTGAAAACCTTGCAGTGATTTGACTTAGGTGTGTTCAGAGCCCATCATTTTGGTGCAAAGAAATCCATTGTGCGTATTAAGGGGTAAATCAGTTGGTCCAAAGTACAATTCTGGCACTCCCTGCTAATCTCACCTTGGGTAGCACTCACATTTATGTCTCCAATTCCCCCTCCCTTCCCTTCTCCTTGGAAATACAAACGTTAGCAACAACGAGGTGTACAACCACTAATCGAAAGCAATATAATACTGCACAGATCAGCTCCATGATGGAATAAAGAAGTGAGCGTGAATCTAAGTACCTTCTCCTCATATCATAGCCTCTACATTGTTTTCAGGAGCATTTTTGTCAGGCAGTGATGAAAGGCTGAGAACAAAGTGAGTAAAATTTCCTTTTACTGCTTAAAAATTCTCAGCTGGTTTGCTATATCAAAAACCTGTCTCTTCAAACAAATCACACGGTTAAAAATGCCAAGTTATAATTCAGCAACTAACTCAGAAAATGACAATTTAATCAATCAGAACCAACCCTCCTGAAAAAGAACAAAAAAATAATCTTCAAGCTTTCATGCAATGTGCGTGGTTGAAACTATAAAAGGTTCAATCACTGTAGAACAAGCCTGCAGCATCAATGTTTATTAAAGTCAGGGGAGCCATTTATTGACCTGGGAAATAGCAAAGCACCAGCAGCACTGCTGGATTGCATTTTTATAGTTAACAAACGGAAGGTGATATTTTCCTTTTCTCTTTTAATTGTGATTCCATCAAATCCAAAAAGTTAAAAGCCTTTCAGTTTTTAAAGGAAAGCAAAGAGAAGGATGGTCCACACTGTCCTTCAGTCATTCTCTCTGTTTGGACTCCTAGCACCGGGATATATCAAATCATTGCAACACGTGATCAGATTTTTAGGCTTATCCGCATGCCAGTAGAATGACAGACTGGTTTGTGTTCCCCCCGCCACCTTGGGTGATGGCAGAAGATAGGGAGCTACCATTATGAAGTTGTTTCTTTCTGTAATCAAAAAGGGATTACTGTATTTATTTACATAAAGGTTACCCTGCCACCAAGACAGCCAAAAGCACCCAGAATGAATTGTCTTCTCCCAAACTGACAATAGGCACTTTCTCCAAGGACATGTCTTGGTTGTTCTGGAGATTTTGTAACTCTATTTTGCTACAAGCACATTTTCAAGGCACACCTTTTCACGCTGCATAAATTGTGAACCACATAAGGCTATTAAAAGGAAAGCATCAGCAACGTAAATTGCATTTATGGATCTACATTACCCAGATTACAGGAGTTTGGCTTCTGCTTCTTTCTTTCCGTATCGTTCTCCATCTACAGGAAACCTTGAGGTCAACTGATGAACACTGGACAAGGATTTAAAACACGCAGTGTGTGTCAGCTGCCACCTAAGCTGTTGCCAACTCCAGAAAAGGAGACTTCAAAAGCTAAGAGGATGAGTCAGTGCAGTCTGAGCTGACATGCCGCACGCTGAAGCGGAGAGCTGTAGCTAACCCATATCCTCTGTGGATTAGGTACAAAGCAGGCTGAGCAACGCAGGCAGGCCAGCGGGTTATACATGCATGCATCAAAGGGTAATGAATATTGTAACAAATCCCCAGTCACCTAGGACCTTAGCAGTTGTCAATATGCTGCATGCATTAGCGGCTCAGAGCTTGGTGGGAGCAAGAGAGATAAAAACTGAGTCCTCCACTTCAAAACCACGACTCTCTACCACTTGGAGAATTTCACACTACTTCTGCACAGGGTACAAAACTGCCTTTCTGATCCCACCCAGTCGTACACAGCACTTCACACTTCCCTTCCAGGTTTGCAAACAGACCTCCAGCAGCTCTACTTCTCATTTTCTTTTTCTCATTCATAGAGAAAAACACATAATATCCTTACTTAAAACATAGTGGAGGAGTTTGACAGAAATTAATGACTCACCTGTCATACTATAAGAATTTTGATATTTGCAGGGGGAAAAAAAGGCTTTGAGTGTTTTGAGAGCTGTAAAAAGCTGCTTCAGAATTCAAAGACAGCTCATAAAAAATCAAGTCAATTGATAGGTTGGTGTAAGCTTTGAGATACCCATTTTGTGCTACAATCACAATACTGCGAGAATATTAATAAATAAAAGGTTATGAAAAAAAGTAACCCACGAGTTCCCTCAAATTAGATCCCATTGGCGTGAAATTAGTTCACAGCTGTCGCTTGTGTTGCTCCAAGAGAGATTACTTCTTAAATAATGTTAATGACAACTTTGATTTGACTTCTGTAATTACTAGAGGGAGAAGGGACCACATTTCCTAGGAAGAAAAATCTTTTATCTGCTTGTTTAATGTACAATCTTTGATGAGACGGAGCTCCTTTCCCCTGAGTTATTTCCCTGAGCATTTTTGTTTTGAAAAAGAAATGGATTTCCAGGTTGAAAGCAGAGCTGCCACGCAGCTGTCAGAGCTGTGGGAGAGGTGTCTAATTGTCATTTACAATGACCCTTGATTCTTCTCTAAATAGAGCATCTCTCCCACCTCATCTCCTCACTTTCTCTCTACCTCACAAGCAGGCGTATTTACAGGGCTGGATTCTTCTCCGAGCTACCTCCACCAGTAAATCATAAAAATTTCTCCTATAATCAATGGAGTGTCTTCAGATTTACCAGACAGTATAATCTGGTCCACGAGACAGCTGATTGTTATCTATAACCTCCCCATCCAATTCAAGCGATGGGAGATGTAATCCAAAAATTTCCTTTGGACTTTTTTACTGCCAAAATAGATCAAATTCTGTGGCAGCCTTTTTACAATCTCCACTTTTCTAAATAAACATCACACAGCCTCTTCTGCCTTTACTGCAAAACACTTCTCCCTGCTGGTACCGAGGCAGGTTGTTAGCTGTTGTGCTGACACAGAAAACAGTGGCAGCATCTCCATGCAAGCCCGTGGTGCAGCACCAAGACATGGGGCGCAAAGGGGCGCAGGCTGTGGATCCCAAGCTCTCGCTCACCATGGAGCACCAGGAATAATCCTTGAGGTTAGATGAGTTGAAAACCCCTTGCACTGTCCCCCCACCCAGTTAGACACCGCATGGCTTTGTAAATTACTAGACCCAGCTCCCAAAGATTAAAGAGTCTTCACAACAAAGCTATCGGGCAGCTGATGCGTGCACTGGTTGCATCCAAACCAGGCTGGACACGGAGTGTGCTGAAGAAGGGGGATGCAGGAATTGCTGAGCTGGGTTGCTCCGCAGGCAGGGACAGGGGAACTGGAACAGCTCTCACAAAGGGCACCAAGCAAAGCCACGCGCTGCCATAGCTCAGTGGCTGGAGAAGTGCTGATGGGTGTGCAGGAATGTATTTAGAGGAAATCATTCAAAGTACATTCCTGGACTGCAAATTAAATTAAACTGCTCAGAAAAAGCCCTGAGTGACATTGAAGGCCATGCAATTAAATGCAGAGCTCTGATTTGCAATGATCAACAAAAAGCAAATACATCATTAGAATGCACAGCAAACAGAAAATAACAACAAAAATTGTGAGATTATGGCTGTATTATACTAATTAACAGTTTTCCCCTATTGGTTCGTTCACTAAGGTTCAAACATATTCATTCTTTGATGCACATTTGTATTCATAAAACTGTGAATTTCTTCCCAGCCTTCTTTTGTTGGCAAGGATTGATAGCTGTTAATGAGAATGTGAACAGAGAAGGAGCTAAAATGATGGGGGCCAAACGAAGCGGGATAGCTCCCACACTCACAAAGAGACTTTCTCGCTGGGGCTTTGAATTTCAGAGCAGCTTCAACTCATTTACGGAGCCTGGAAATGAAGGTCTCTTGCCTATATGAAAATTAAATACTTCCATGCAGTGTTATGACTTTGCCTTCAGGTAGTTGTGTCTCCGTGTTTCATTCACGTTTGTGGCCATTTTAACCCACTGAGCTTAACTATGTAATAAGGATGCCTGGATGTGGATAATTCTTCCTCCTCCTTTCCCACTGCAATCAGGTTTTGCCCTTCATTATATAATTTTGTGGACTCTATTAGACCATAAATCTTTACAGAGTTCTTCAAGCTTTGACCTACATCTTGCATATACGGGAACTTTTCTCCCTAGATTGCCTTTTGGAGCACAGCAGTTCATTAAAGTTTTGAACACTGAACCCTCACTCTTACTGCTTTATCGCCTGGTTTATGTGCCAAATGTCAAAACAGGCGTCAGAAATCTGATTTATGAGGATATATAGAGAAATTGTGGTACCTGCTTGCGACTAGGAGTCAGCTGGCAATTTCTTATCAGGATTTCCTCCTCAGCTACCAGGGCCCAGCCTGGCAGCCCAGAGACAGCACTGCCAAGATTGAATTCAAAGATCATCATTCAGGACTAACAAAGCTTTCAAGCTTTTTTTTTTTTTTGTAGTAACTTTGAATTTATGTGCTTTCCAATTTCAATCACATTTGACAATTTTGTGTTGGTTTTTTTTCAAGTAAAAGTCAGTGCTGATTTCTAAAAATTAAACGTAAACAAGTCAAGCAGTCTCTAAATGCCAGCATGAGATTTTATACTCTTTCCCTCTCTCTGAAATATCAGAAAATTATGGATGAAAGCAGAAGCCAGCAGCACTCCAGAACGCACAACCGTGGATAAGAAATCTCAGGTTCCCCCACTAATTTACCACTTTATACAGAATCAGCTTTATCTCCTGCTCACACACCCGACCTCCCTCACCCCACATAACCGGCTCCGTACAGGAAAGCTGCTTTTTTTAACGTTGTTTTTGCACCAACCGTGCCCCCCGCGCCTCCAGGCTGTGGGCAGGGGCCTGTCCCCGCAGCCGCGCCCCGGACGCGGAGGGTGGAGCCGCGTTGCCACCTCCTCCCGCTCCTCCCCCGCCGTGCGCGGCCTCGGCGCTACGCGAGGACGGGGATCCAGCGCGGCCTGCGGGTAGCGGCAGCCGCCATGGCCGGGGAGGTGAAGACGAAGCTGTCCAAGAACCTGCTGCGCATGAAGGTGACGCGGGAGCGGGGCGGGAAGGACGGGCGGGGGGTGCCTGAGGCCCGGGGCGGGGAGCGGGCGGCCGGGCCTAGACCCGGGAAATACCCGGCACCAGGCAAGGTGCTCCCGAGAAGGCCGCTGGTTTATGCGGAGACCCCCCCGGGCCCGCCTCACCGCACGGCTCGGCCCCTCCCGGGCCGCTGCACACGCGTCGGGGCCCGGC